CCCTAAACTCTCGTTACGCGGGCACGTGAACCTCGGTGACCGTCTTCTCCTCTCCGTCCTCCTCCTCTTGCAACTCCTCCTACTCCTCCCACTTCCCCGCTGCAGCAGGAAGCCCCTAACCCAACTGACACTGGCACGACCGCGCACGGTGTCATCTGCACAAGTTTATCCCGCTCCCGCGCCTCCCCTAAGGCGTTGGACCCATCGCCGCCTCCTCTTTGATTTTTTGGCAAAGTTGCATCGCGCGACATAGTTTCTTCGCCCCTGCCACCTCTCTGTGGCTCCCGAGTGCCCCGCCACCCCGCAGCCTGCTCCCGGGGCTGCGCCCTAGTGCCCCTGCTGGGCAGTGGCGTCCCCCCCTTCCTCGCGTGCCCAGCCCCTGCCGCTCCGAGCAGACGATGCTCAAGATGCTCTCCTTCAAGCTGCTGCTGCTGGCCGTGGCTCTGGGCTTCTTTGAAGGAGATGCTAAGTTTGGGGAAAGAAGCGAAGGGAGCGGAGCCAGGAGGAGAAGGTGCCTCAATGGGAACCCCCCGAAGCGCCTGAAAAGGAGAGACAGGCGGATGATGTCCCAGCTGGAGCTGCTGAGTGGCGGAGAGGTGCTGTGTGGTGGCTTCTACCCGCGGCTGTCCTGCTGCCCGCGGAGTGACAGCCCGGGGCTGGGGCGCCTGGAGAACAAGGTAGGAACTCACCTCCTCGCGGATGCAAACTTGGCACGCTGGCTGCGTGGGGCGCGGCGGGGCTCGCTCTGGCCGTGCCCGTGGCTGCAAGGAGGGTAAAACTTGTTCGGGGAGTTCTTTTGGTAACTTTCCTAACGCGCTAACGCGATGCGGCTGTGGGTCCCTCCGGGGTGCGCACAGAGCTCTCCCGCCCCCAGAATCCGCGGTGAGGATGCTGCGCCTTCTGGCTTGTCTCAGAAAAGGTAGACTTCTGTGGTACCCGAGTCCTGGGCTGGGAGATAGTTGAAAAGAATCGAGACGAACAGTGTGTTTTGGATCAAATCGGACATTGGCTGCGGGGAAATTGTAAATTAAGGTGCTTGTGGTTTCCGGTTTGTTTTTCTAGGGTAAAAATGATTTGTGCCGTTTTCTCCACGTGCTCAGTTAGGGAGAAGGATGGGCGAGGACTGAATCGGAAAGGATGTGGGAGCTTGGCTGGTTTGTGATCCTCAGCCCCGTCAGAGGGGGGTGTCTTGCATTGCATTAGTTAAACTAGTGAAAGGGAGCCCTTGGTCCTCTGGTTTAAGAGCCCGAAAACCAAGAGAGAGATTGTGCTGAGGCACGGTGATGGCACAACCTTGAGAGGATTCCCCGTCGTTTTGTAACATGATCAATTCAGGCTTCCAAGGAATGGTTGTCTCGGAAGATCTTTTCTAGGAACTTGCGTTAAGATTAATAGCATTTACGTTTTCCTTGTGTTCATCGATTTAGCCAAATAGAAACACGGGCGTAGGTTGAGTGTAGACACGCTTGGTTTTGAGTTTGCAACCTCTTTCTGGCCATGGGATGCAGCGTTTGCTGGGTCAGGTCATGAACACTCACTGCACGGGAAATAAACAATCAGGTGTCTTTGCACCTCCTCCTTTCCCCCCTTTTTAGGTTTAATTAAGAATTCCTCTGTTCCAACACTGCAGTTGTCAAAGTCTCAGCGACTCTTGGAAAACCTGTGCTTCAGTCTTGCTGGCCCAGGCATTAAAAAAAAAAAAAAAAAAAGCCAGGCTGAATCTAATTTTTATGCTCAGTTCACGGTAGATTTCACTCTATTCTCATGTAAACAGCTCCTACGAATCAACATATGTGTCTGGGTGGTATCTCTCACTTTGTTTTGTAACAAAAAGCCATATTGCATCATTTAATTTGCTCAAGTCATGCAAATAGGAAAAAATCAATAGGACAAAAAGGGGTCGACTTATCCTCCTCCCCACTAAAGTGCTGCCCACACACAGAGTCCTGTTGCTTATAGCAAAAGAATAACAACAACACCATTGTATTTGTTAGTTGGTTCACTAATGGGTGAAACTAGAGAACATCATTCTCTTTCAGTCCCCAGCTCTGTCCAAATGTTCATGCCTTTTGAGGGAGCATTTGTCCAACTCTCTGTGTTCCCAGATGAGTGAGAACTGTCTTGCTGCAGGTTTTCAGCTGCAGCTCCTTTTTTATTCATACCATATGCAGCAGCATTCTGAGAAGCAGAGAACAGATATTCCAGCATTTTATTCCAAACAATGTCATTAAGCTCCTGGGTAGTGATTGAATTAAGTGACAGAAGAGCCACATTCAGATCATTTTAGGCATTTTACCAGGAACGCTAAAGAACCAGGAAATTCAGAGAAACGTTTAGAAATGTTGGCCATTGAGTCTGTGTGCAGTGTACACTACGCGTCTACCGGTAGAGACCCCTGCAATATTGAGCTGTTGCAGGAACATATGGAAGGAAAACTTTGTCCTTAACCAAATATAGTGGGGGGAAAGGGAGGGGAGAGTGGGACTGATGGGAGCTATAACCCTTAAAAGAAGTTCTATAAATTTTTTTTTAAAGAAATCATTCTTTAGGAAGTGATCTGCCACGTTAGCTGTCCACATTCCTTTCTGTTTTACGTGCTTCCAATCTCCAACAAGCCCCTACTCATTTGGAAAATGTGTCTGAATGAAGTTTGGTACACTCGACTTTGCTGGTTCCATTACAAGTGGTTTATAAACCAACAATACTCAAATTGTTCCAAACAGAGATTTGATACGGCCATGCATATGCATTCTCAAGCTGTGTTAGTTCTCAGGTTTTTAATAGTTTTTAAAACATGTTATTTTATAATAAACGTCAGTGTTTCCCTTTTTCCCGTAAGCCTTCCTGGATTATAATATATGTAAAGGTCTTATTTCATAATGTGTATTTAGGGGAGATGATAGCTATTTGAAAGGCCCCTTTTCTGTTTATGAAAGGGAAAAAAAAAATCCCCAGAAAAATTTCTACAACCTTTCAAGTAACTACAGTGGGAGCTTTTTCCCAAGGGGGGTGGGGGGGAATTTCTTAGACAAATAGATAGTAGCAAACTAGGTAAGAATATTGAGTATCTTAAGCGATGCAATTAAATCCAGTGTCTAGAAAAACAAAATTTCTTTCATGAGCATTGAATTTAATTCTCTAGCCATGGTATTATGCTTTTATATTCTCATTTGGGGGCTAGTTTAATAATGTTGTGTATTGTCACGGGCTTGTTCACTGCCACTACAGATAAGCTCTACTAACATTTAGGAAGTTACATGGTCTCAGCAATATTTTCGCAGCTCCAGAATACAACATGCTAAAAGCATCTAATTCTCATTAGCCAAATTGAATCTGCAACCAACTGAAATACCCCCATTTCTAAAACTTAACTTGGAGCCACAGAGGCATACAAGCTCTCTCTACCTTGGGTGGTTTCACAGCCAAAACTGTCAAGGAATGGGTGAAAAGTAATTGTTTTCAAGTGTGCCCTTTTACAATCATTTGTTTGCTCTGGCTCTTTCAGGAACAAAGGCTATTGTTGAACACATCCAACTAAACAAATAACTCATCCTGGGGTCCCTTTAACAGCTGCCTTAGTACAATGATCTATTTACATATTAGCCTAAAATTGAAACTGAACTCTTTAATGACATAATCCAGCACTATAGTACAGGGACGCATGTGTTCTACCCAACAGCTGAACAACCTTGTAGGCATACGATTTTTAGAAATAACTTTTTGTGTACCAAGTGATCCTAAGATGACATCTTAATATATTGCCATGTATTTTCTTCTTTTGCCCCCCTCCTCGAGCCCATGTGGGTGCTTTTTTGTCCCCTCTGTGTAGTTACTTGATAAATAAAGAGAAATACAGGAGGTCTCTGTCACCTATTTTACTATTTGTTGATAAGCTATCTTTGTAAGCCATGCTTTACTGTGTATTCCAGTATTTATTTTACCTTTCTCCTATGAATTTTACTTTCACGCAGCTGAAGATTAAAAGGTGACCCTACTAGATGTTGTAAATTAGTCAGCAACACCCACAGTCATTACTAGGCGTGCTATAATAATGTTTCAAAGTTTTACACAATTTCTAAAGTGGATTTAGTTTCAATCACTATAATGTGATGATCTTGTATATGGCTTTTAAAAAATTAAAAGAGGAAATTAGCTTCGATTTCTTCCTAAAACTGATGGCATTGGTGGAGATAAAGTTAAGGACCTAGATAGACACAGACACAGGCCAAAAAAAAAAGAAGAAGAAGAAAATGACCCTACCCACATCAGGACTCATCTGTCTGAAACAGTGTTGCAGCTTTGGCTGAGTCAGTTTAATTGACTTCAGTAAGACTATTGGTTCATTGAAACCAAAGCTAGAATGATGGCTTTATCTATCTTCAAATAGGTATTTACACTGCAGACCTCACACAGAGCAAAATGTTACCATCCTGCTGGGCTGGAACAGCAGGAAACTTTCAAAAGAATAATATTATACTTGATTTCAGATAATTTATTGAATCCTATTTCTGAAACTTTTGATGAGAGATCTTGTGGCCAGGACACATTCCAAAAATTGTAAAAGACAAAATTCTTTAGGCACTAAAATCAAGCTCTTCCTGGATAGCAGCTGACCATGTATATGGGGATCATTTTGTTTCAGCTATAAAAAATGGAAGCATGTGTATTTGCCATAAAACCAAAGGTAATTACATGCCAGTTTTTCAGCCAGCAAAAGAGGTGGCTTCAGCACTCTGCAGTTGTCCTGCTCCTAGCGGACTGCTCTATGATAAACAAATAGAACAAAGTTGAAGCCTATTAATATTGAATAGATCTGGTGACTCTGCCAGAGAATAAGACATTTAAAACATTCTTGGAATGCAAATTCTAAGTGTCTGGTGTATGTTTCCTCTTAGAAAACTTTAACCATTTAAGCAGTTGTCATTTAAATAAGTGGATAAAACTTCACATGGAAATGTAATTAATAGTAAATTCTGGTTATTGTAGGGGATTGCAATACTCATGGATGTCGTTTTTCTGAAATAAGGTGACTTCTTTTGGAGTTTTAAGTATGACATGCCCAAATTTCAGCATACTTGCATGTAATCATTTTTTAAAGTTACTTTACTCTTTTAGATGGAAAAATTTTATAATCACCTAGAACATTAGTATTCTGAAAAGTAGAGGCCATACCATTTACTCCTATTGGAACCTCAACTTCTAAATGAAATATTTACTTTAAACAGTAATCTAGAGTTTAAACTTATTTTTAAGTTCTAGAGAAATAAACATAGTGGATTGAAAAAAAACATAGTGAATAAGAAGGTATTAAATTCTATCCCCAAATGGTGTGTTTTAATACAAAAAGTTGGTGCTTGATTTAGAGAGCACTACATTTATTGCCTCAAGTATTGTGCTCACACTGTCTTCTCTTGGGTCCTAGGGAAAGTCATGATGCCTTTTTGCATAGAAAAACATGTCGAGACTTTTCCAATGACCTAATATGTTTCTTAAAGGAGCTCTTAAAGTCAGTTTTTTAAAGTTAGTATTAAGACCACAAGACCGACTCTTGGTCTCAGTGAATCAAAAAGTCCCAAATTGGTCTTGCTGAAATAAAAGACATTATTGTTGTAAAGATGATGACAAATGTATACTTTTCTCATGAAAATTTACTAAATATTATATGAAAGCACTTTCATTAAGCTCTTGCATTTATTCATGTATATAACATACCTGAGGAGCTAGTTACTACGTTTTTTCTGGCTAAGATATATTGAATCATAAAAAATGGCATTAAACCTATTTGATTTCAGCTTTGGATATTACTTTTATAAACATGGGAGGCAGCTAGTTCCCCACTCTAGAAGACTTTCCCTGTGCAGCCTGTAAATTGAAAGTTAGTTGAAATTTAAAAAATGTAATTCAAATACATTTTTGAGAATACCATAGTCAGAATTCCAGGAACAACGTAGATTTTTATCTAAGATGCAAATAATCTGTCTTAAAGAAATTCTACATTGCATACAGTTGGATAAAGATATTTGGAATTTTAGTGTCACTCAGTATGTATTCCAAGGCAGAATAAAGTAATAGAAGATTAAAAGTCTATATATAAGTGCCATTTAAATTTTCACCCCTGAAAGGCAGATTAATAGACGTTGATTTGCAAGAATAAAAAGCATCCCTGTCCTGTTTCATCACTCCAGCTGCAGATGCAGTGCCACTGTGCCTGCATCCTTACACAGGCTGTATCAAGACGCCGTAATTCTTTTTTTTTCTTTTTGAGAGTTTTTTTTTTAATAATTATTATTTTTATTTATTTATTCATTCATTGATTTTTCAATTTGACCAGAGAGAGACAGAGGGGTGAGAGTGAGAGAGAGAGGAAGTGAGAAAGCAAGCCACCAGATTCAGGACTCGAACCCCGGTCAGCCATGTGGGAGTGTCCAGCGCCTTAACCACCACGCCACTCGCTGGTCCATGTGCTCTCCAGAAAGACAGAAAGAGACAGAGAGACAGACAGAAAGAGACAGAGAGAGACAGAAAGTGAGAAATCACCCCCCAGGGGGGATGGCCACACTGCAATCCCTTCTCCTCCATTCTCCTTCCGGGATCTTGGTCACATACGCACATGCGCCCGGAGTGAGTTTAAGCCACCAGGTCCAATACTCGAACTGTGGTTGACTACGTAGGAGTTCAGCGACATAGCCATTACGCTAACTGCTGGTCCCAAGACGCTGTAACTCTTTTCAGGAAACTTGATTATCTACCTTAAACACTTCTACCTACATGACTGCAAAAGTAAAATAAAATAAAGTAACTGAAAATAAAATAAAATAAAATAAAATAAAATAAAGTAACTGAACTTAACTTCACATAACTAAAAAGACATTTGTTTCTGATTTATGGCTTTCAGATATTTTCTGTTACCAACAACACCGAATGTGGGAAGTTACTGGAGGAAATCAAATGTGCACTTTGTTCTCCATATTCTCAGAGCCTGTTCCACTCACCTGAGAGAGACGTCTTGGAAAGAGACCTAGTACTTCCCCTGCTCTGCAAAGACTATTGCAAAGAATTCTTTTATACTTGCCGGGGCCATATTCCAGGTAAAAAAAAAAAATCATAAATAAACCATTCTAAAATATCCTTGCAAAATACCTGTTCTTTTTATTATTGTTTATTTTGTTTTATTTGTCAGAGAACACATGCACTTGTCACAGAGAGACAGAGAGAAGGTGAGAGGAAGAAAGTACTCTCTATAGAATATGAATACACAGCAATCCCCTCTCTATTCCTTCTTTTGGAATTTGGGGTGCGTGCACGCACACACACCCCTGCTCTGCAAAGACTATTGCAAAGAATTCTTTTATACTTGCCGGGGCCATATTCCAGGTAAAAAAAAAAAAATCATAAATAAACCATTCTAAAATATCCTTGCAAAATACCTGTTCTTTTTATTATTGTTTATTTTGTTTTATTTGTCAGAGAACACATGCACTTGTCACAGAGAGACAGAGAGAAGGTGAGAGGAAGAAAGTACTCTCTATAGAATATGAATACACAGCAATCCCCTCTCTATTCCTTCTTTTGGAATTTGGGGTGCGTGCACGCACACACACACACACACACACACACACACACACACACAGAGGCATGGTGTGTTTTCCAAGCCACTGAGTCCAGGACTCAAACCATGGGGTAGACCATGTGGGCTCCAACTCCCTTAACCAATAGGCTACATAACTGGCCTGAAGATACCTGTTCTTAAATTAAACGCTTTATTACAATAGTTACAAAGTAAATCTTACCTTTCCAAATACTCGTTTTGCCTCATAATGAACCTTTCCAAGTTCATAACGTCTATCCTTGCTAAAGGAGTCTTATCATTTCAGTCTAAAAACAGCATATGGAATTTGTGGAAATGTTTTGTATTTTTCATTAAACTGATAATATAGTTGGTAATCTTTACACATTTTGGATTATTAGCATACATTTCTTGTTGGTATCTTTTTTCCCCATACATATCAAGATTGAGGCACCTTTCTCTTCCTCACAGCTGGTATGTGATTGGAAAATACTCCCTGGGAACCAGCAGTTAGCATAATGGCTATGTCGCTGGATTCCCACGTAGTCGACCGCAGTTCGCATCCCGGACCCGGTGGCTTAAAACTCACGCTGGGCGCATGTGCGTGCATGCCCAAGATCCCGAGAGGAGAATGGAGGAGAAGGGATTGCGGCGTGACCATCCCCCCCCGGGAGGTTATTTCTCGCTTTCTGTCTCTCTGTCTCTCTCTGTCTGGCGAGCGCACACGCCCTATAGTGAAAATCTCTCAAAAAAAGAAAGAAAGAAAGAAAGAAAATACTCCCTGACTTTTAATGTACTCTGTGATTAGAACCCCAAAACGTAACACTTTACAAAATACTTGCCCATATAATGATGAATTTGCTCCTCAAAAGCCATGTGAGGTAGATAGGAATTTGACGCATGAGGAAAACTGAACCTCTGGAAAGGCTAAAAATGCCTTAATCAGGAGACAGCAGGTGGCATGGTGGTTAAGGGCACTGGACTCCCACATGGCCGACTGTGGTTTGAGTCCTGGACCTGGTGGCTCGCTTTCTCCTTTTCCCTCACTTTCTCTTTCTCTCTCACTCTGTCTCTTCTGGTCAAATTAAAATAAATAAATAAAATGAAATAAAATCATTATTTTTTTAAAAAATGCCTTAAAGTTGTACAAGGAGGTGGTCAGGGACAGATAGAAAAGTTCTCATGTATATGGTATGAGAATACCTGGTTAGTATCATATTTTGGACTGTAATGAACATAAACTGGGTTGTTGGAAAAGTCATGACGTAAATGCATCATGACTTTACCAACAACTCAATAGATTCGTGGGCATTGATTAATTTTGTCATTGAAAGTTTGTAAACTGGTTGCTGCTGCCTTAATTAGAATAATCAATCAACGTAGAGGAGGAAAAGACTTTAACAAGACAGTGTCTGCTTCCTTAGGCAGAGTCAGACACAAATCTACTGAAGCTAACAGTTTATAAAACTCAATGGAATTGAAGGAAAAAAAAGTTTTAGAAACTAGGGGATGCATGTAGAGATTTTTTTTTTAACTGCTATGTACATTTTGCTTTGCTCTCTGACCCAGAAAAGTACAGATTTTTGTATTTTTTTTAGTAGAACTTTCTTAACCTAAGTAAACATTTTGACTCGAACTGCTAGCTTCCTTTGATAAGGCATAGCATGGATCCAAACCCATTCAGTGTGAAAATGTTATTATTGTCTTTATAAACCGGACCCATGTTTCTAAAACTTTTCTTAAAGCAGCTGCTTCTTCCTCTTTATCACATTTCGAAGGTCACGGGTGCCTTGACGGCCTACAGAGGAGCGATAACAGATTAGATACCGTAAAAGTTTACTTCTCAAACTTCCGACTTGAAAGTTTGCCTTTAGGACTTTACGTTAAAAGTCACATCAACACTTAGTATTTTCATTTATGTTTGTCTACCTTAGATAAATACAACAGGCTAGATTTAGGGCTTCATCTGTGGGTGTCTTTATATATTGGAAGTTATTTTTAGCTTCCAAAACAATGATGAAAAACACAATATCCACTGAAAGAGAGCATGGCAAATAGCTCAGAGCCAGAACTGCAAGCACCTCACTCCCCAGATCAACATATGTGGTGATGAATGACAAATTTATTTTTCTACAAAGTTTGTATATATGTAAAACTGCTGAAGTGCATCAAGATGTCAAGTGGCTTTTGGTGGCCACCCAGGCTGCCTTGAAAGATAACCAGATGAAAGACCCTCGCTAGAGGTAGATGGAGCCTCAAGGCTGCTTTCCAGAAACTCTGGAAGGCTTTAGGGATGCATGGTTGGCCCCTGTGTATGTCAAAGGCTAATAATCATTCTAAATACTTGTCCCCAAAGTGAGCCGTAATCACACACTGTTTGTGTTACTTATGTTAATCGATTTAGCCAGACTGATCTTAGGCAGGTAGGTTACCATCCCCTAAAGTATGATGAATAAAAGGGTAATCCTCCCCTTAGCCCCTGAACCTTTCGAATTCTACAACAATTCTTGTTCCAGAAATTGCAACAAAGGCAAATTTGTGATAGTTTCACCTTCTTAAGATTATGTAAGAATACGGTGCACTTTGCTCTGAAGTTCAACTTATGAAAAATAGATACTTTGTGATTGATTTATTTATTTGTTAAGAAACTATTTGCCGTATCGCTAACAGCCTCATCTTTCTACAGATCAAAAACTGGAAGAGAAAGGTCCCCTAAGGGATGTATTTTACTAAAAGCTGGTAAAATAGATTGGGGGAGAGAAAAAACAATTCCAGAATATCTTTTATTTACTTACCTATTGCCCAAAACATGAAGAAATAAATATATTAATGACCTAACCCTTTGTTTTGCCTTCCTGGCTTTAAGAAAGCTCGACTGTCACTTTAGAAGACTTATACACCTGAAATTTAACTCCTTTTTAGACATTTTAATTCAAAAATTATTATGGTTTGCTTATTTTCCCAAAAGTGGGGGAAGAAATGAAAAAGCAATATAGTGAGCATATGCTAAAGTTTTATTTACTTAGGGAGATGAATTCTTAAAGCGTCTAAAAATGCTGAAACTACATTCAAGAACCCCACGACTTCTTTGCCCAGCTCTCAGGTACCTGAATGAGCAGAGTACACACTTTGCTGATCACTAGAAGACAGCATAGTACAGCATAGGAAAACAGATCCGTGGACATCCACTGTTCTGGCTTCTTTCTGTATGCCCAGCATGACTTATATTCCTCTTAGACATCAGCTCCTTAGCAGTGGGTTATTGTGTGAACTGTCTGCACACAATTAGTTCAATGAGTTTAATCCTGTTGCTAATAAGGCCAAGGTCAAGGGCGTGCCTCTACTAAGTTTCTCCAGTCCATCACCACGCCTCACCCCAGCCAGATGTCTTGCACATGTGTCTTATTAATCCCACGAAGAGCAGACCAGAGCAAATGGATGGGTGTATTAAAAACCCACTACCAGGACAGGCAGATGGCATGATGGTTACATCACTGAACTCCCATATGGCTGATCACAGGTCAAGTCCCGAACCCAGCCACTTTAAACTCCCACTGGGTGCGTGTGTATGTGTGCTCAAAATCCCAAGAGGAGAATGGAAGAGAAGGAACTATGGTGTGGCCATCCCCACTGGGGAGTACTGATTCCATGCTTTCTGTCTTTCTGGTTTTTTCTCTCTCCGGCAAGAACAAGAACCCTATAGCAAAAAAATCTCTTAAAAAGAAAAAAGAACACACCTTCCAGGCCAGCAGATCACCATGGTTGTATCACTGGACTCCCACATGGCCAACCGCGGTTTGAGTCCTGGACCTGGTGGTTTGAAAATCACGCTAGGTGTGTGTGCATACATGCCCAGGACCTGTGGAGGAGAAAGGATTGCAGTGTGGCTACCACCCCCCAGAGGGTTATTTCTCACTTTCCCTTTCACTGCCTCTGTCTCTTTTCCTCTCTCTCCAATAAAGCACACAGATCCTATGGCAAAACCCACTTTAAAAAATCCATTACCTCCACTAGAATGGAGAAGAGATTGCAGTGTGATCATCCCTCCTGGAGGGTGATTTCTCACTTTCCCTCTCACTGTCTCTGTCTCTTTCCAGCAAATGCACACACCCTATAGAAAAAAAAAATCAGTTCGCTACCTCCACTAGAAAATGCAGGCCTTACCACTAGAGACTCAGTTTTCCCTTATCCTGATGAGTAGCATCATTTCCTTAGCATGACGGGTATAATGGGGGAAAAGATAACCTTTTTCTAGGGTACATGCTGAGAAGAAAGCCAGAAATCAGCATCCTCATGGGGAGTATTTACTTTAGAGATCAGTGTTTTATGAGTATTTTTGTGGTACAGCAGGACTGGGTTCATAATCCACGAGAATAAGAGATTCGTTCCAGGAGAATAGTTTCAAGATACTTTTGTTTTTATATAAAGTTTTTGTTCTTTAGAGGTTATTGCCTTAGGAAGCATGTGTTCTCTGGAGAGAGATGGAGAGACAGAAACCCTGAGAGGGAAAGTGAGAAATCA